CACATTCGGGTAGAGATGGCCAGGTGACAGGTGGACATAAGGTAAGTTTGGACCATGGAGAGAGATAAGGAACAAACACACACTTTTAGAAATCATGCCTATTTCAGCAGCATCCAAAACTGCCAGGAGGGAACTTGGCCACAAAGACCACAGGAGGTTGGAGCATTGGCAGATAACCAGTGGAGACAATGAACGGGCCCTGAAGCCCACGAAGGGACCGGAAGTAGGGCTTTTGGTCCACAGTGGTGCTCAGACATGACAGGTTCAAGAGTGAGTGGCTCTCCGGTTCATGTCACATGCTCCCTTCTGTCCCGTGGTATCTTGAGAGAGAAGCATGTAAGCCCCAGGCTTACCCCCACAGAGGAGTGCAGGGAAGGGCTGTGGGCAGGCCAGAGCTTTCTATTAGTTTCTGGCAGGCAGTGAGGGGGTGGCAGGCATAGGCTGGGCAGTGCCTTGGGTCTCCCTGCAGGGCCTAGCAAGGCCTTTCAGCTCAGAAGGTTCAGAGGCCGGGGGTTGACCAGAACCATGATCATCAGATGGACTGCCAGACCGTGCGCAGGTACCCCTGTGGGTTGATACTCAGGAGATCATTCCCTAGGACAAGCAGGGAACTGTCCCCTGAAGTCTGTGAGAACTTTGAAGCCAGTCAGGAACCGAGGACTGTGCATAGTACCCTACATGGTACTACTTTTCTTCAGGGCCGTTATGGGGGGAATACACCATTAAGTAGATTCTACTCTCTTTTCAGAGGAGGGGTCTTGCCTCCCTGTCTCAGTTCATACAGTCTGAAGGCAACATTCTAAGACATCTCCTAGTGCCTCACATGAAAAGCCCCAGGCCAAGCATCTACCTCAGGGGAAAGCTGGCTAGGGAGACTCAGCTCCACGTAGCAGAGCAAAGCAGGGCAGTAACCTGGCAGCTCCAGAGAGGCCTCTGCAATCCTCGGCACAGAAAAGGCCTGTGACCTGAGAGAGAATCACAATCCAGAAAGTAAGCTGGAGAAGGGACTCCCAGACCTCAGAATAAATGCAGCATGAGTAAGAAATCGTAGCCTAAGAGCCCTGAGATGTGAAGACAGTAAAGATGAAAATGAGTTTAAAATACTGAAGAGGGGGTGCTGGAGAGATGGCTCAGCAGTTAAGAGCACTGACTGCTCTTACAGAGGTCCTGAGTTCAATTCCCAGCACCCACATGGTGGATCACAACCATCTCTAATGAGATCCGGTGCTCTTTTCTGGTATGCAGGCAGAACATTGTATACATAATAAATAAATCTTTAAAAAATACTGAAGAGAGAGCTGGGGGTATAGCATAGCTCAGTGGTAGGGTGCCTGCCTGTAGTATACAAGGCCCTGGGTTCAGTTCCCACCACTGGAAAAAAATTAGATGGCAAGATATCTCAGTGGGTAAAGATGCTTGCCACCAAGCCCGAGGACCTGAGCTGGGTCCTCAGAACCATGTGGTAGAAGAAAGAACTGACTCTGAGATGGGCCCCCTGACTCCCCCCACTTGTGCACAGTGGTGCACACTCCCCCAAATTAAATTGAAAAAAGGTTTTTTTTTTTTTAATTTACTTATTTTATGTGCATTGGAGTTTTTGCCATGGGTGCTGGGTCCCCTGGAACTGGAATCATAGACAGTTGTGAGCTGCCACATGGGTGCTGAGAATTGAACCCGGGTCCTCTGGAAAAGTAGTCAGTGCTCTTAACCACTGAGCTATCTCTCCAGTCCCCTAAAAAAAAAGGTTTTTTTTTTTTTTTTTGTTTTTGTTTTTTTTTTTTTTTTTTTTTTTTTTTTTTTTTTTTTTTTTTTTTTGGTTTTTTTTCGAGACAGGGTTTCTCTGTGTAGCTTTGCGCCTCTCCTGGAACTCACTTGGTAGCCCAGGCTGGCCTCGAACTCACAGAGATCCGCCTGGCTCTGCCTCCCGAGTGCTGGGATTAAAGGCGTGCGCCACCACCGCCCGGCGTTTTTTTTTTTTTTTTTTTTTTTTTTTTTTTTTTGAGACAGGGTTTCTCTGTGTAGCTTTGCGCCTTTCCTGGGACTCACTTGGTAGCCCAGACTGGCCTCGAACTCACAGAGATCCACCTGGCTCTGCCTCCCGAGTGCTGGGATTAAAGGCGTGCGCCACCACCGCCCGGCCCAAAAAAAAGGTTTTTAAAGAAAATATTTACACATTCAAGTCAGTGTCTCCAAGTTGATGTAAAGATGGGTGTTTTGTGTGAGAAAAGAAAAGGCACGGAAATGCTAAATATTTTGTTGTTGATTTAGGGAAAAACAACATCCTCAGGAAAGCATGAGAACGGAATGCTCAATGAACAAGCCCCTTCTGGAAGCTGGAAATGAGGAGATGGAAGTGAAGGGACCCAGACGGTAGGCGGAGGAGAGGTTTGGGGAGGATTTCCGGTGGCCTGGAGAGAGAAGAATTGGTAAGGAGAATGCAAAAGCAGGAAGAACTGGGGAGTCTTCAGGACGGGGGCGGGGCTTCTCTCTGCGGGGACGGACGTGAGCCAAGTGGGCAGACTGGAGGAAGAATAAAAGAGCTGGCATGATGGCCTGGTTAAGTGTCTGACACTAGAGGACAAATGAGAAAGAGGAGGTGACAGCAGTTACGAAGTCACAAGAGCCACCCACTTGTTCTCCCCCTGTGCCTGGTGATACTGCATCTTTCTTTCTTTCTCCCAGTGCTTGGAGGGCTTGGAGCCAGACTCCCTGAGCCACGCCCTCATTCATAGGACTGAGCAGAACACCGGCATTTCAGACACCCAGGTTCAGAGGGCAGACCAGCAGTCACGCTGTGCGCCACAGTCTCCATCCAAACTCAGCAGACTCTCAAAGAGAACAAAACCCACTGCCAGGCAGTAGAGGCAGACAGGCCGGCCTGTGAGCGCTGCTCTGCCCCATGGGAGTGCAGGCACAGAGCCATGAATTGTGGCTACCAAGGCCCCAAACACCCGAAGGACAGCTGCTGCAGGGAGTGATGCTGAGGCTGAAGCAGACCCACACACACACACACACACACACACACACACACACACACACACACACACACACCCTGGCCATCTGAGATGAAGCCATAAAATCAACCACTGAAAACAGAACACCTGCTCCTCAGGAGGAGCCACACCGTCAGCACCAGCGGCCAGCAAAGAGCACCTCAAACTCCTTTCCACCTAAGTGGGGCTGGAGTTGATAATAAAGATGCCTGGCTCCCGGCGCCATCTGGGGAGCAAAGACTCAGATTTTAAAGGCTTAGCATGTGGGCAAGCTAGAACATAAAAAGACGAAAATGAGCTCTCAGAACTTGTACTTGAGGTGGTCTCCATACGACCAAACATCTAAGATGCAATCTTGGGATTACTTCATATGAAGAGCGGATCTAACTGTCTATAGCCCTCAGTGAAAAGGGTATATAAAAGTGTGTACTCAATAGTGCTGTCAGACTCACAGAAACTAATCCAGCGAGGGATTAACAGTGACTGGAGCGTTGTCCATTGTACATACCACTATATATGGGACCAGCAAGCTGGCTCAGTGGGTAGGGAAGCTTGCCACCAAGCCGGACCACCTGAATTTGATCCCATGACCCAGAGGGTGGAAAGAGAGCTAACTCCCACAGACTGTCCTCTGACCTGCACATCAGCACCGTGGCTTGCGTACACTCCTCCCGCCACACACACAAATAAGTTAGTTAATTAAAAAATAATATTACAGTTGATCAACTATTACCATTTTGTCATTCTATGCCCTAACAGGGAATGCAAAAATGACCGGAAATGCATATTCAAATTCAAATGACTAGTGTTTAAGTGGGTAGAGGGATGTTCTACAAATGATTGAAATATGTGTCACATAGGGAGACACAGAGTGGAAAAGGGAGAGCACGTGGATGGTTGTCCATCAAACCAACCCTGTGCCTGACCACGTGACATCACTGTCAGTAAAACCATGACGTGAGGAAAACGAGGACATGACTAGATGAGTAAGAAGGACTGACAAGGAAGCCTGGTTACCAAAAGTGCAAAACTCAGGAGGAGCGAGCGGGTGACTCACCTGGGTTGTGGTCATGTCCGTCTGTTCCTGGAGAGCTGCAGAGGCTGCAGAGAGGGAAGGGGGCAGAAACCGTGAGAAAGACCGTCACCATCAAGCTCCGCAGAGCCTTGTTAGAAACTCATTTGTATGTGCTGACAAATGACCACCTGGGGGTCCGACGTCACCCCGACCCTTCAGATGGGCAGGTAGATGAATGCTCAGGAAGCTTTGTCACTACCTGGAGCTCAGAGAAAGGGTTTTTCATCAGGACAGCCAGCACTGGCTTCCTGCCGGCCTTTCACAATGACCATGGCCTCTTTGGGTCTGACAGCAAGCAAGCATGCAGGGCATGAAGTCAAACTGGGAAAGAGGTGGCAAGGCCAATGGTTAGAGCAGCTAACTCAGGCCTTCAGTCCAGTTGCGTGTTTTGATGTGTGGGGTTTAATCTTACGAACGGAGTGTAGCGGTGTATCCATCCCAGCACTCAGGAGACAGAGGCAGGAGGATGGAGCATTTGAGATTATCCTGAGCTACACAGAAGACCCTGCTTCAAACAAACACTGCAAAACACTAAGATAATCTTATAAAGGAAGGTGGGAACGAGAAAAGTACGGATGTGTGTTTAAGTGCATGTGTATATATGTATGTGCACGTGTGTGCTGGGGTGGACAGCCAATAAAACAGTCCCTCCCTAGCCCAATCTGCAACATGCACTCAGGAGTTACTACGCTGTTTTCTACTTTTGTGTGTTTTGAATATTTCTGTAATAAAAGGTGTGAATCAACTTATAGGTTTTGTTTTGCTTTAAGACAGGATCTCACTATGTAGCCCAGCTGGCCTGGAATACTCAACGTAGACCAGGCTGGTTTCAAACTCAGAGATCCACTTGCCTCTTCTTCCCAAGTCACTGAGATTAAAGATGCTGAACACTGAACCTAGTGTGTGTAAAACAGTTTAACAATGAAGATGTTATGAGTATCTGTTGATTTACTTTTCTACATATAGTTTAACTCCTTAGCCCTGTAACTCAAATCATTTATTTTTAAACAATTTATTTTTTCTTCTTCTTCTTCTTCTTCTTCTTCTTCTTCTTCTTCTTCTTCTTCTTCTTCTTCTTCTTCTTCTTCTTCTTCTTCTTCTTCTTCTTCTTTTCTCTCTCTCTCTCTCTCTCTCTCTCTCTCTCTCTCTCTCTCTCTCTCTCTCTCTCTCTCTCTCTCTCTGTGAACATGTGTGCAAGGGCCCACTGAGACCAGATAATATCCGACTCCCTGGAGCTGGAGTTACAGGTGGCTGTGAGCTGCTCGACGTGGGTTCTGGGAGTCAAACCCAGGTCTTTTTCCAGAGCAACAAGTGTTCTTAACTGCGATGCCACCTCTCAAATCCCAGCTCGAGGGATGTGTAGGAACTACTGACAACAGGGACAGTGTGCTTTAAGTCAGTTCTTTGGTTTCAGTGTCTCCAAGGGAGTTTTGTTTTGTTTCAAGAGACTTGACTTAGCTGAGACATGTGTGCTGCAGGACAGTGGCCTGGGATCAGGGGGTCTCAAGGATTTGGTCACTAGCAAGTCTCTTGCAGGCAGGTGGTAACAGGCTAGTTACGATGCCGGGGACTAATAACATTTGTTCAGTGCTGGAGTCTGGCAGGCCCTGCCTGCTCTAAGCTCTTTTCAGGCGTGGTCTCTCTTAGTCCTTACAATCAAGTATGATGTAGGTACCAGGGTTCCTGTATGAGGAAATGGAGGTGAGGAATGATAGAGCCGTTCTTATGGAGAGCTAAGTTCCAAACCCTGGCAGACTGTCCCTAGAAACCATGTAGTTAAGGATTGCTAATTATGAAGCAGAATGACATGTCCCCTAAAACGGGAGTGGGCGGTGTGGCCCTGAAGTCTAGCTGTGCCTGTGAGTGCGCAAAGAAGGTTGTGGGAGGAGCTTCCAGGAGGAGGATGGCGCACCTGCCTGCACTTCCACCTCCTCCTCCTCTTGTTCCCTCACCCTCCTCCCACGGAGGTCTCTACTCCAAGCAGCCTGCCTCTTGCTCGCCTCCCGTGGCTGGCCCAGCTCACCTCCTTCTCTTGGAAGCCGGCCCACGCTGCTGCCACTGGACAGGTGTCTAGTGAGACGATGTTACCCAGCACAGGGCTCAGCAAGCGCTTCTTGGGCTTCCGCCCTGCAGCTGCACCCCAGAGAGGAGGGGTCTCCCGTGGGGAGAGTCCTGCTTCTGTGTGCTCTTCTTTTTCTTCACACGATCTGTGATCCAGAGAACTTTGAACCTGACTAGAGGGAGTAAATTCAAGGAGCTGGAGCCTTTGGCTGAATCTATCAATTCTCCCTCCCCTCTCTCCCCCCACCCCAATCACTGCTCTCTACAATAGTGGTTCTCAGAGTGAAAGTCCAGACCAGTGTCGACACCATCCGAACCATTCAGAAAGATGAACTTAGAGACCTCTCAGCAGACAGCAGGAGCTCTGTACCCAGCATCTGTTTGGGCCTGAGCGCATGGCTGATTCTGATACAGACTCTGAAAACCTCTGTGAGCCTAACTTAGTAGTCTGCAAACTGCAGTGGGCACAGACAGGTGGCCCAGGCAGAAGGGCTAGTCAACCCAGGACCCCATAGGGAAACTCAGTGCAGGCAGGTCCAGCGGCCCTTGAGGAAGAGTCATGTGTGGAGAGAGAGGAGAGAGAGAGAGAGAGAGACAGAGAGACAGAGAGAGAGAGAGACAGAGAGACAGAGAGACAGAGAGAGAGACAGAGAGAGAGAGACAGAGAGACAGAGAGACAGAGAGACAGAGAGACAGAGACAGAGAGACACAGAGACAGAGAGACACAGAGAGAGAGACAGAGACAGAGAAAGAGAGAGACACAGAGAGAGAACAGCTAGATTGAACCGAGCTTGAGATTTGGAAATAAACGATTCGGGGTTTGCATCCTAGCTCTCTCCCACAGACTATGCCCTTCACCCCATCCCCGAGTCTGTCTTCTCTGGTAGAACAGGGCTGTTGGGCTGTAACAGTGACTTTCAGAGCCAAATGGTGCATAGGGCTTAATGAACAGGGCACGAAGGCCACTTTCAGGTCCTGAGCAAATGCCGCCATCCCTGCTAAAGCCTTTCTCAGGCACTGCCCAGAACACCCTAGAGGCAAGTTCAGGGAAGAACTCCCATGTACAGACTGAGGAAACTGAGTCTCAGATTCCTCTTCTTGCCCGTGGGGACTCTGTAGTAATGCTAGAACTTGAGCTAAGACTCTGAGAGCCGCCTTTTCAGCTACAGAACCCCCACTGCCAACCACGAACAGGTGTCATCCCATGAAGCGGTGGAAGTCACTCGTCAGTTGCTATGGGGCTCGGAACCCCAGCAGGTGGCTCTGACATCCGAATGCCTTCCTCAGCTCACTTTATCCCGACCACCGAGCCCGTGCCCAGTCTCTTCCCCATGAGAAGCCCACCGCCACCAGCGAGAAGCACACTCAGGGTCAGTGTCAGGGTCCCCCCACGACCCGCGCAGGTGTTGGCACGCAAAGCCCCCGAGCCTGGCAACGCAACCCTCCAAATTGGCTCTCACCGGTGGGCGCGCCTGACTTGGGTACCGGGTCTCTGAGCGACGCTTGGACCCTGAGGATCTGAGGGTTTCTTCCGAGCGCAGCAGGACGCGGGAGCGAACAATGAAGATGAACTGCACATGCGCAGCACAGCAGCTAGGGACCCGTTCCCGCGACCCTCTTGGCCTCCATCACATTCCAGACTCCGTTCCCAAGGCACCCGCGCCCCTCCCAAGGAGAAGCAGAGCTCCTGCTTAGTTGGAGAACTGTGTCAAGCCACCTGCAGGCACCACCGCCTCAGATGCAAAGACACTTGGAGAAGAGTCGTGTCCACACCACGTGAGAAAAAAGCAAGGAGGTGAAATGTTTATAGGAAGCAAAACCACGCATTCCTATCAAAGATCAATATGATCCTCAAGTTTTCTTTCCTAATGCACATGACATCTGCACACAAAACTGGCTATCAAAAGCAATAGCCAAGCTATTAATAACCAAGCTGGGCGGCGGTGGCGCACGCCTTTAATCCCAGCGCTCAGGAGGCAAAGCCAGCGGATCTCTGTGAGTTCGAGGCCAGCCTGGTCTACAGAGCGAGATCCAGGACAGGCTCCAAGCTACACAGAGAAACCCTGTCTTGAAAAAGAAAATGCCCCCAAACCATAGACAAAATCAAATACACAATTCAAGGGGTCATATGAGAAAAGGAGCCAGTAAATAATTTCCTTTCCCAGAGATGACTGTGGTTAATATTGGGTGATATGTTAAGATTTTTTAAAAAGCTGGGTGGTAATGGTGCACGCCTTTAATCCCAGCCAGTACTGGGGAGGCAGAGGCAAGTGGACCTCTGTGAGTTTGAGGCCAGCCTGGTTTACAGAGTGAGTTCCATGACAGCCAAGGCTACACAGAGAAACAAACAAACAAACAAACAAAAACACCAAACAACAACAAAAAAGATTAAAAAGAAGGTGTGTGTGTGTGTGTGTGTGTGTGTGTGTGTGTGTGTGTGTTCACACCAAGTGAGAAAAAAGCGTGTGACTGTAGATGTCCATGGAGGCCAGAAGCATCAGATCCCCTGTGGTTGAAGTTACAGGCAGTTGTGAGCCACCCTAATTAGGGAATAGAATTCTGGTCCTCTGCAAGCATTAAAAATACTTTTAACCACTGAACCATCTTTCCAGTCCCTGGGCAATACTGTTATTGAAATAGGACCCTAGGAGTTTAATTTTAGATATTTCATTAAGCATATTAATCACTTTCTAACTGTGTGCAGGTGTGAGTGCAGATACCTTTTAAGTCCAGAGAAGGCACCAGATGCACTGGAGCTGGAGATACAGGTGGATTTGGGTTGCCTGACATGGGTGCTGGGAACTGAGAGAGCAGCCCCTGGTCTAACCTAGAGCCATCCCTTCAGCCCCTGGAAATAACTGAAGTGCAGGTCAGCATACTTTAAGACGATGCACAAATTCATGACCTTTTGTCTCTTCTGAGAGTGACAATGGGCTATAATAGGTGGCATTCACTGTGGCATTCAGCACCTAGATCTATGGTTCCCAGTGCTGGCCAGAACTCTCAGGAAAGTAATTATTGCTCGCTGCTGGGTGCCATTAAACCTGGAGGTTGAGGCTGGGTATGGTGGTGGATGCTTTTAATCCCTATGCTCAGGAGGCAGAGGCAGGAGAATCTCTATGAGCTCAAATCCTGGTCTACACAGAGAGTTAGTTCCAGGACAGTCAAGAGCGACTCTGTCTACACCACCACCAAACAAGCAAGCAAGCAAGCAAACAAACAAAAAACCAACACAAAACCCTGGGACTGCCAGGCCAAACGAAGGAGTATATTCTCCAACGGCAGCTCAGTGAGTGGGGTGGTTCTATTGCCATGGCACTTCACTTTATTGTTTTACTGAACACATCCAAATTTCATCTGAAGAACCAAGTCCCTAAATAGCATTAGGCATTTCTAATTGATAATTTAGAGTACTCTTAATTAGACATGAAAATCGCCCTTGCTTCTGGCAAGGACAGTCTTAAACCCAAAAGTTCATAAAAATTCCTAGTAATATGATAAAGGTGAAATGTCCACATAGGAGGCTGAGTGAGAGAGGAGAAATGAAGAAATCATAAAAAAAATCATCTTAGGAAATTAGGGGGCAGGGGGTGGGGTGGGAGAGAAGCAGTGTGCATGCTGTAGCATGTACCTCATGTGGATGGGACCTGACGTTCTGACCATGAGTCACCAGGCACTCTATAGGAAATAGAAAAAGATTATCTCATTTAATATATGGGCAGGGATCAACAATAGCACCTACCAAATACATGACTCAAAGCTTTCACTCTAGAAAAATGTCAAACCTCATCTAAAAAAAAAAAAGATTGGAAAATATATTTTGTAAGTATATGAAAGAAATGGTTTACTGGCTCCCTTTAATTATCTCTTACACATTTGTAAGAAGATCACAGTCCCATATAAATGATCTATGGCTACAAAAGACTAGTAATAAAAGGGAAATGCAAATGAGGAATAAATATGCGGAAGCTGGCCATAAACTACAGATAAAACCGCAAGTGTTTAAATACTTCTTTGCCTTCACAGTAGGCAAAGATTATAAAGAAATATGATATCCAGGGTGGTTGAAATTTGGAGAAATGCTCATTCTCATAAATATCTTCCTGGAATGTAATTTGTAGGACAATTGGAGGCCTCTCCGTCTCAGGGTTCCAAAGGAGCATGTTCTGTGGACACAGCCGTTCCATCTCCAGGGTTATGACCTAAGGGAGTAAAGTCCAAAGATGCATGGACAGCCACCTTCCTCAGTGTTTGCTGACAGTCATACACCAGGGGGAAATTAAGTTACAGAAACTATGAGAAGCCACAAAGTGGGATATAGGACAATCATTAAACACTGCAATGTAGATTATAACATGCTTCTGTATAATACATGGAAGTAAGTAGAGTTTATAATGTACTTTTAAAATTTATTTTATTATTTGTAATTGTGTGTGAGTATGCGTATATTATTCAAAGTTCTCTAGAGGAATAGAACTGATAGAATGTGTATATACATGTGATATGTATATGGGATTTATTAGAATGGCTTATAGGCTAAGTCCAACAATGTCCAGCTAGTCCAACATGGCTATCTACTAGCAGAAGTTCCAAGACTCTAGTAGCTGCTCCATCCATGAGGCTGGACGTCACAGTTGGTCTTCAAAGCATGCTGGAATCCTAAGGAAGTAGGCTTTCACGCCAGTGAAGGAATAGACAGACTTTCAAACTCAAGCAAGCAGGCAAAGGCAGCAAGTTTCCTTCTTCCGAGTCTCACAAAGGCCTCCAGAAGGTACGGTGTAGCTTAAAGGTCCAGATTAAAAGAGGGCCTTCCCACTGCAAATAATCTAATAAGGAAAAACCCCTCACAGATGTACCCAGACACTTAGGTTTCGGTTAATTCCACATGTAATCTAGTTGACAACCATGAATAGCCATCATAGGGTGTGTGTGTGTGGGGGGGGATATATACAGGTGCCTGCAGAGGCCATATTCCCTGGAGCTGGAGTTACAGGTTTGTGAGTCTTCTGATATGGGTGCTGGGAACTGAACTCAGGCTCTCTACAAGAACAGCATGAGTTCTTAACTACTGAGACATCTCTCCAGCACCTTGCAATGCATTTTAAAGTAAAATACACTTTATTTTTAAATTAATTGTGTATGTGATTGTATTCATCACTTTTTTGTTGCTGTGATAAAACATCATGACCAAGGCAACTTATAGTAGAAAGAATTTATTTGGGCTTTTGATTCCAAAAGGGATAAAGAATCCACCACCATTTAAAAATAAAGAATATAAGTAATGGTTTGCTTTTTAATCATCTACCTCTCCTAAGGGTTTGAAAGTAAATGTAAGTAACAAATATAGGTACAAAATTGAACCAAAAAATTTAAAAATCTCACCCATAACAAAAGAGAAATCTCTGAACAGATTTTGTTTATAGCAGTCTTCAGAAATTCCTGATCTACATTATTTAGCGCTAACCTTCGGTAGGACCCAGGATGGGTGGGCCACCCTCAGGAGTGGGAATTGGCATTCTCTGTGGAAGGCATCACTCTAATGTTACCTCTTTAATTTTCCCAGTGCTATCTTGATGTATTTAGTGTTTGCTGCTAAATTAACTGCACAGTGCATTACATTGCTTGTTTAAGTGTCTTTGTTGTGCATTATGGCACCTAATTTCCACTTCAAAGTAATTGGCCTCCGTGAGTCTTTTTGTTTCAGGCCCCTAAAAGCACTATCACTTAATGACTTTGAATGAGGCTGGTGTAGTGATGAAGTGATTTACAGTTTTAGTAAAAGTGAATGCTAAAATGATTAACCAAGTTACTGAATAACTCAAAATATTCCAAGACACCGGCACAGTGGGTTCCTTGATGGCAGTAGCACTCACGGGCCCAGCTGCTGAATAGGTGCATCTTGGTTTATACTAAAGACAGGCAGTCACGCGTCACAGCACACACTAAGCTCACAATTATCGCTCATTGTTACTTTTATATTATGGTTCTACAGGAGCGTGGGAACTTCCAGGAACTTGGGAAGACTTGTGCTGAGTTGGAATTTGTACCCCAGGACCAGACATGGCCATGCCTTGGTATCATTTCCAGTCTGTACACCTGGAATTCCTGGGCACTAAGTGGCACTGCCCTCCATATTTTCTGTGGTGCCATTCCAATGTGTGGATGCAAACACTTGGAAGTAAAGGAGAATGGGTACTGACCTTGTGATAGTCCTTATCTCTCTGCAAATGACTGACTGTCGATGGTCAAGGGGACTGTGATAGTTAATACTGCCAACTACACAAAACCTAGACCCCCCCCCCCCCCGGGTGATGGGCCTGTAAGGATTTTCCTGACTGGGGTGGGGACCCATCCTGGGTGTGTGTGGTACTGTGTCCTGGACTGAATGAAAAGGAGAGAAGGTGCTGAATGGTGACCCTGCAGTGACCCTTGCTTTCTGCTTCCATACTGTGGGTGTAATTCGGCCAGTTCCCTCACGCTCCTGTACCTGGACTGCACCATGATGGGCTGCACCTTGAACCGTGAGCCGAAATAAAACCTTTTCCCTTTAAGCTGTTTGTGTTCAGATATTTTTATCACAGAGACGGGAAAAGAAACCAAGACAGAGACTGATGACCGATGTTTTACTTTTTATTGGCAAAAGTGCATTTATTGGTGTATACAGGTATGTGCCACATAATATGCTTCGATTGACAGAGGCCATATAGACAACAGTGCTGTGGGCCGCAGGAATATCATAAGAACTCAGCTGGTTATGGCAAAGTCACTACCTGGAGGGATCAGGAATTCCTCCAAAGGAAGCCAAATTCCAAGGAGCTTTTGGTGTTACTTGACTTGTTATATATCAGCTGTCTTCTGTTATGAAAATCATGTGTGCCTTCATAGTTTTCCCAATTGACTTTTCCCTAAGAAGGGCTAACTGGGCTAATCACTCTCTGGACATACACATTCAAGGTATGTGGAGAACAGCCTCAGGAAAGGCTTTCTCTGGAATCAGATTATCTCCCTTAGCCACTTTCAAGGACTAACAGTAATAACAGTCCACATGCAAGTCTCCTGATTTAAGGTAAATTCCACAAGGAGACATCACCTAAGTCAGGTGGACGTTAAGTAATAGCTTTACACAATTTAGCTTGGACCCTCCTTTCTTACAGCCTTACTAACTTTATAGACCTCTAATTCCTTACCTAAACACTTTTAGGAATATTTAGATAATCTGCGCTGACAGCTATGCTCAACCTGAACCCCAGTTCAAGCCTCCCTGTAATTATCATCATTGGCAGCATCCGGTCAGGTCCATCCCCAGATGGAGGAAAGTACTTTATCAGAGATACCTCTGTACTCTCTAAGAACAGACTTAAGCATCCAGGCTACCTGTTTGAGAAGGCCTGGCGGATGTGCCAATTAAGTTTAACTTCCTCCTTTCCCAAATCTTACCTCTAGTTCCAGATCTCCCTTTAACTATCACCAGAGGCATCTAGCTGTACACAGGTTGCCTAGCGACTGAGCTAGGGTAGCACACTTTCCCCTACCCTGCAGAAAAACAGCAGATAGCTTGAACAGATAGGAGCCACAGGAAAAAAGAAGGCAGTTTTATTTTCTCCCATTGACCTAGGAACTTATAGATTCTTAACATTTTCTACCAATCACGTTTAAGACTATAGTTGAGCACATAAGATCTCTCTTCTTAGATATTACCCAAATTTAGCCTTTAGTTAATTCATTTCCCCATTGGTCACTTCCCTTTGGGGTTGCAAACGATGATTAATGGTTATTGCCTCCCTATGTGATTCTTATCACCCCTCCGTTTGACCCTGGAAGCCTGTCTTTGCACTGCCAAGGGAATACTGCTTGGAAGTGTATATGTACCAGGACTTCCAGGGCACGTGGAGGACGGAGAAGAGAAAAGAGAATGGAAGAACTAGATGGGTAAGAACTTGAGAGGAACAAACTGAGATGGGGAAGAACTAGATTGAAGGGCTAGAAGAGAGTACTAGAGGAATGAGATGGAAGATGAGGAAGAGCCAGATGGGGAAGAACATGATGAGAGAAAAGGAGATGGGAGAGGAGCTGATATGGGAAAGAACTAGATGGATAAGAACCTAGAAGGGGCAGAACTAGATGAAGGAATTAAGATAGAACCTGGAGGGGACAACAGATAAATGTAGAGAGAAATTGGGCAAGAAAGGAGCTAAAAATGAAAGCAGAGTATAAGCTTGTAGAAAGAGAACTGACAGAATAATAAAGTGTATGGACTAAAGAATTTTGTGTACATAGATTCATTTCTTTTCTTCAAAGATTAATTATCAGCTGGTTGTAGATTCTTCCCGGACCCTAGGAGGGGACTATCAAGGGGCTGGACCCCCATGGTCCCCGATACAACAGTGGGCCCACAAGAATGTAATGGAGCTGGAAACTCCTATTGTAGTGTCAATGTGAAATGGCCCCTATTGGCCAATGTGGCTGAACACTTGGTTCCCACCTGGCGGTGCTGTTTGGGAAGCTTCTGGAACTCCCAGGAGGTGGGACCTGACAGGAGGAAGTGGGTCACTGGGCACAGGCCTTGCAGTTTCATAGCCTCCAGCTCCTACCACACCAGCTGCCACATCTTCCTGACCATGGTGGACTATGTCCCTCTGGAACCTAAGCCAAAACAAACCTTTTCTCCCTTAACTTGCTTTTAAAGGATGCTTTGTTACAGCAATGGGAAAGTAACTAAGTCAGGCAGCTCCTTTCCTGCGTCTTTTTTGTTTGGCTACACACAGTTGTTAAACTGCATACTGTGCTCCGCACCGTGTCTCTGTTGGCCTCATACTGCACAGGTTTGTAGCCTGTGATATATAGATTAGGTGTGTGGCAGGTGACATTATCTGGGCTTCTGGAAGCGTTTTCTAGAATACCAGCAATGGTATTCCGGTCCTCAGTTCTGTCTCTCTGGTGCTTTCTAGGCTGAGGAAGTAACTATAGAAACAGCTTTGAGCGAACCTTTGAGGGGACTCAAGGCAACTGTCCCCTGTCCCCTGGTCACTGCTTAGGTCAAGTTGTTCAGTGTGTCAATGTGTGGTTTAGGGACTGTCCCTGCTCTAGAACACTCACACCATGCAGTTTGAAGACACAAGTTCATCCGTCTTTGTGGGGCTGGTGCGACTTCGTCATCCGACGCTCACTTTCTCTTCCTGACTGCTCAGCCTGTAGATTTCAAGCCAAGCGTTAGACGTGGGCTCAGTCATGTCACAGCTCCCCCACAGTTGCCTACTGCCAAACCTGTGTGTGTGTGTGCGTGCGTGTGTGTGTGTGTGTGTGTGTGTGTGTGTGTGTGCATGTATACATTTTTCAAAAGAAAAAAGCTAACAAATTTCAGCAGCTTCTGGGATGAGAAGGAAGGCAGCCGTGCATCTGGAGTTAGGGTCAGCACCAGACCCTGCAAACAACTGTAGTCTCTGCTTTTGACTAAATCTAGAATAGCACAGGAAAGGCACAACTTGGGGACCTAGAGAGAGCTCAAACTATAGCAAGGTTCTGACTGGGACACCCAATCAGACATCTGGTGGCCAGCGATCCATTCTGATACAGCTCCTGTGTGTGTGGAGCAGTTCTAGGGGACAGAAGGCATCGGATGCAACTTTTGAACACTTCACACTAGATCTGCTGTGCAGGAGGAACTCAAGACTTTCCTAAGTAGACCCACTGACTTCACACCCAGTCCAGACACATATTGCGAGCAAACAGTCCGTTACGGGGCGCTGTGCCCATCTTTAGACAAGAGAATGATTGGTCCATTAAGCTAGCTTCCAGGTGAACCACAAGGAACGATGAGATCATCAAGTGGTTTCAACGTGGTCTGTTTGTAGTTAGTGGACAGTGTTCTCCCTGCATTCCTGCAATCAACAAGGCACTTAAGGCATCCCACGAAAACATTAGCTGAGAAAATGGAGACTTCCCTACACACTGAGGGACTCTCCACAGTAGCATGCTATGAAGGATAGGTGGATTTATAAATGCAAAGCAATAGGGCAGAACTGAAGGCTGTCAGCTGCATCAATAATGAACAATTTCTAAAACCAGCCTCCTGCTTTCAGAGACTCAATTTACTCTCCACTTCACTGACAGATTAGGAGCGATTGTAATGGGAGTCCACCAGCTTCCTCCCTGTCCACCCACTCACTGCCAGTGTGCATCATGTAGATGAACCGGCAGGGGACACCATTTCTATCATTAAGACTCCTCTCCCCAGGCACCTGTGGTGACATTGTGTTCCCCAAAATATTGTGCACCCTAATAAACTTATCTGGGGTCAGAGAACAGAACAGCCACTAGATATAGAGGCCAGAAAATGGTGGCACACACGCCGTCTGGATCTCTGTGAGTTCAAGGCCACACTGGAAACAGCCAGGCATAATGACTCACACCTTTAATCTGCAGGAAGCAGAAAGATATTTAAGGCGTGAGGACGAGGAACTAGAGCCTGGTTAAGCTTTTAGGCTTTTGAGCAGCAGTTCAGCTGAGATCCATTCAGATGAGGACACAGAGGTTTCCAGTCTGAGGAAACAGGATTAGCTGAGGAACTGGCAAGGTGAGGTGGCTGTGGCTTGTTCTGCTTCTCTGATATTCCAGCATTCACCCCAATACCTGGCTTCAGGTTTGTTTTTATTAGTAAGACCTTTTAAGATTCATGCTATGCTACAGGCACCAGACTCCAGCTACTCACCACTCCATGCAGGACAACCTTCCACTCTTGTGCTGGTCAGCTTGACACAGACTAGGGTCATCTGGGAGGAGGGAACCTCGGTTAGAGGTTGCCATCACCAGACTGACCAGTGGGGAATTTTGACTGCTGTGGAGGGGCCTACCCCACTAGGAGTGGTACCATCCCTGGGCAGGTGGTCCTGGGTGGCATAAAAAAGCAGGCTGAGCCAGCCAGTAAGCACTGCTACTCCATGGCCTCTGCTTCAGCTCCTGTCCTGACTTCCCACGGGTATGGACTGCAAGCTCTAAGGTGAAATGAGCCCTTTCCTTCCCAAGTCGCTTTCGGTCATGGTGTCTTTATCATAGCGACAGAAAGAAAACTGTGACCCACTCCCTTCCTGGAATGTCCTGTCAGCACATAAACATGCAAGTAACCCAATCTTTATGAAGAAACCTTCATTTAAAAAACTGCATTTACTTGTGTACATGGGGGGTGGATACTGGCGGATTTGGATGTGTGTACCAGAGTTGGGCGGGGGGAGTGGATGGCAAGAGGACAGCTGTGCAGGAGTTGCTTCTCTGCCTCTACCACGTGGGGCCTGGGGATCAAATGTAGGTTGTCTGGCTTGGTGGCAAGTGATCTTACCCCAATTTTATACCACATTGTCCAGGAAAGCTGAAACTTGGGAGAGTCTCAGATTCTTTTTAGATGCAGTTTAGAAGTAAATGCTAAGGAGACTGAGCAGCCACGCTGCAGATTCTGACTGCTCAGCTGCCTGCAAGCTGTGCCGGGGGCTCCAGGGTTACAGCTTTCAGGCCCATGCTGGGGTGGGATTCATCACCCATGCTTCTGGGTCATCCCCACTCCCCCAACAGACTCACTGGCTCACCAAGCTGGACTTTGGTGTAATGGTTACTTTGGTTTGGAATAGGTTTCCTTTCAAGGGTGAGTAGGTGTGCTGCATCTCCCCAGTAAAAGTCTCACACAACAAACATCTATTGTTATTTTAATCTGGTTAACATGGGGGTCATTTTTAGGATACCAAAAGATACCTCACAGCCTCTAATACTTCCGAATGTGACCTTATGGAAATAAGGCTGTTACAGATGTCAGTCATTAAGGTGAGGCCATGCTGGAGTAAGATGGGACCCTGATCAGACGTGTCCTGATAAAAGGGAAACGTAGACAGATATCCACATTGGCACAAGCTGCAGGCAGACGATGCAGCAAAAACCCAGGCAGTCTCTAGCAGTCACAAGAAAGCAGGCTTGCAGGACTGGGCCTGACTTGCTGCCCTGGGTCCTGTGAGATGAGATCCACTCTTCTGATCAGTGTGGCAGTTTCTTCCAGTAGCTGTAGGACTCTTGCAGACCCTACATGTGACTATTCTCTTCAGCTGCTTTTAAAGACTTTTTTCCATTTTAATTACTTTTGATTTTTGTATCTTAAAGGTTTTTTTTTTTTTTTTAAAAAAAACAACTTAAAAAATATATTGTTGTTGTATGTGTGCATGGGTGCACCACAGTCCATGTACGGTCAAAGGACAACCTTATGGAGTTGGATCTTTCTGTCCACCTTTCCAAGTGACCTGGGTTGCTGGCTTGCAGAACAAGCCCCTTTACCAGCTGAGTCCTCTACAGGACCTTCAAGTTTTACTTGGATGTGTCTTGTTATTTTGTGTTTGGGGCTCACTGATCCTCTATTTGCGGACATACATTTTTTTCATCAGTTCCCCCCAGCATACAGCACCCCTATATACTAAGTCACACTAATAAAGGCCAACAATTCAGTAATCACAGAATTGTGATTTGCTGCATCACTCAATGGTAAGCAGAAGGCACAACTAGACAGCTAGGGCACAGATCTTCAGAGGGCAAAAACATCTACACAAAACAGCCCACAGACTTCCTTTATACAGAGCTCAGAGCTCTGAGTGTTAGAAGACCAAGAAAAGAAAAGTAAGTATAAGGGACATATTCTGACCAACTTGATAAAAATGCTTAAGAATTCTATCAGTGAGTTTTTAAACTTTTTTTTTTTTTTTTTTTTTTTTTTTTTTTTTTTTGGTTTTTTTCGAGACAGGGTTTCTCTGTGTAGTTTTGCGCCTTTCCTGGAACTCACTTTGTAGACCAGGCTGGCCTCGAACTCACAGAGATCCGCCTGGCTCTGCCTCCCGAGTGCTGGGATTAAAGGCGTGCGCCACCACCGCCCGGCTGAGTTTTTAAACATTTTAACCTTTATTTATCTATCAATGAGTTTTTAAACATTTTAACCTTTGTTTATTTTTGTGTGTGCATGCCATACCACACCTGTGGAAGCCAGGGTAACTCTCCTATCATGTGGGGCCCAAAGATTGAACTCAGGTCGTCAGGATGCTAGTTCTATCGGGGCCTCTGTGAGTAATTTTAAACAGATGATAAAATTCCATTCGCAACAGCAACCAATCTTTAAGTAATTATTAAAAATCTCAGGAAATATTACTATTGATATACACATATATTCATGTTTCAGTATATATTATATACATCGAATACATGTGCATTCACAAATACGTTAACCTTACTGAAGGATATAAAATACAAACTGAATAAATAGACCACTCTTGTTCTCACTGGGATTTCTGATGAGTCTCAAACAAAGGGCAGCTTTCCCCACCCAAGAACCCAACATCACAACTAGAAGCAGCGGACAAGCCAGAGAGAGACTCTCATTTCCAAGACTGAGTTGGATGATACAACTTAGTCTGGCCACTTCAGGGGCTGTTTAGCCGAGTGACAGCATTTTGTCACTTTTCCAGCTTCGTCACAGGCAAGGCCCAGGACAGGATACCCAGTGGCCCTTCTTTGTCAATGAAATAAACTCACTTCACTGTCCTAGGATATGACAATACATCAGAGAGCAGGACTGGGTTAGTAGAAAATTCCACTTGTGGCTGGCTACTAGGACTTGACATTAGCCTCACATGAATGGCATTCTGGCTGGATGCATACTATGAGACTCTATTTGGCACCATTGAGACCTTTTCTCAGAAGCTGATAGGTAAATTCTAAATAACACCTCTATGGACATTTAAAACAAACAAACAAACAAACCAAAACAAACAAAAAAACACTGACACAATCAAACCACTAAGGGAACAGAAGTATTTAAGAACACTAAACGGAGAGACACTTTTGATTCGAACACTCCCCAAATCCTCTTCACTATTCAAACCTGCTTGTTACATCTTTGCTGTTCTTGTTACGGTACCTGCAACTGCTGTTTTCCTTAGCTCTCCTGAAAGCTCCAGGAGGCCCTTACATGCTGCATTGCGCCCCTCATTGGAAAAACCCAGTGACTGGCTGCAGCAAATGCTCGCTCACGTGAGGAGTCACTGCAGGTAGGCAAAGGACCTCCTCACTTTTGCAGATAAAGGGAACAGGGTCTGTCACTAGACAACAATGAGGACAGAAGACGAGCAGCTTGAATAGTCTGAGCTATAAATACTGTAAATTCATTTATCACAGTAACAACTGGTGGTGGCCTGGAATCAAGACTGGATCCTCACATCTGGCAACACACACCATAAACTGACTGTGGAGGGTAATGGAGTAGGGATTAATACTTGTTTCATGATCTGAAAGGGAAGCAGGCACACCTGGTGTAATGTTTGAGATGCTGAATGTTCTCATAGTAACACTGAAAGTTTGACATTCATAAAATAAACTGTGTATCTTGCCTATGTGAGCTCTCTAGTTACAGGGCTGAGGTCAGCAGACAATCTTCCAATAGTCCACCTGCTGACGAGGTCTCACTCCTTTATGCATAACTCAGGATTTGAGCATTATGTAAATTAGCTGTGGCCTTGTTGGAGTTTACTTCTTGTGAGTTTTCTGATGTAAAAGGAAGTTTGATTTATGGCGAAATGTTTTCTTACATATGCTACACTCATAGGGTTTCTCCCCTGTGTGTATTTTCTGATGTTCAGTCAGAGTCCAGAGCCGACGGTAGCTTTTCCCACATTCATTACATCCGTATGGTTTCTCTCCTGTGTGAATTCTCTTATGCACTGTGAATGCTGACTTGTGGCGGAAGGATTTCCCACATTCCTTGCATTTATGTGGTTTTTCCCCAGTGTGAGTCCGCTGATGCTCGGTAAAGGAGACTTTCTGACAGAAGGTTTTCCCGCACTCTTTACACTCATAGGGCCTCTCTCCCGTGTGTGTCTTCTGATGGTGCCTGAGAGCTGACTTCCGGCAGTAGGTCCTCCCACACTCGGGACATTCGTAAGGTCTCTCCCATATGGTTCTCTTATGTGCGAAGCGGCGGGAGCTTTTGTGGACTGTGCGCTTGTGGTCGTGACACTCATGACTCTCCTTTGGGTCCATTCTTTTCTGTTCGCTGCAGTTTGACTTCACAGTGGATGGTCGACCCCATTTACTGAGCACACCAAGCTTCTCTCCTGTGTGAGTTCTCTGATGTATCGTGAGTGTTGTCTTAAGGTAGAAAAGCTTCCCGCATTCATTACATTCGAAAGACTTCTTCCCTCTGTGGATTACCTGATGGGCCACGAGAGCAGACTTAGTGCACAAAAACTTGCCACACTGGCGGCATTTGTAGGGTTTCTCTCCGGTATGACTTCTCAGATGCACATTGAGGGCCGACTGACAGAAGAAAGTTTTCTCACACTCACTGCACTCATAGGGTTTCTCCCCCGTGTGAATTCTCTGATGTGCCGTCAGGGCTGACAGACAGAAGAAGGTTTTCCCACACTCCTTACATTCATTCGGCTTCTCTCCTCTGTGAGTTCTTTGGTGTACAATGAGGTAAGACTTCTTGCCAAAGGCATTCCCACATTCCTTGCATTTATAAGGCTTCTCCCCTGTGTGTGATCTGAAATGCTCAGCCAGGGCTGACTTCCGGAAGAAGGTCTTCCCACATTCGTTACACTCGTAGGATTTCTCCCCTCCATGGATTCTCTGATGCACAATGAGGGCAGATTTGTCAATGAAGGCTTTCCCACACTCTTTGCATTGATAAGGTCTCTCTCCAGTGTGAATTCGCTGGTGTCGAGTGAGGCTTGCTTTTATACGAAAAGTTTTCCTACAGTAATTACAAGCATAGGGTCTCTCTCCTGTATGGATTCTCTGATGGACAATGAGGGTGGACCTCTTAGAGAAGGTTTTCCTACACTCAGCACATTCATTTCGCTTTCTTTCAGCATGTTCCTCCATTCCTGCAGAGTGGGCTGACTTCTGGAGGAAGGGTTGCCCACTCTTATTAAGCTCAGAGGGCTGACTTACAGACTGGATATTCTGGTAGGGATTAAGATCTTCACCTTGACTCCTAACATCCCTAACTTGATCACATTTGTTCTGTTTTGTCCCAGAATGGCTCTTGTCAGGCCTTGTGTGGAGCAGTGGCTTCTCACACCCACCAGGCTCAGCAATTACCTTTGCATTTGCTTGGCTAGACTTAGCAACGGTTTCTTCTGAATTAGTTTTCAAGCCATTTCCCCCTGGATCATATTTATGGAACATTTTTTCTGAAGAAACAGTATTCATGTCAAGAGCAACTGTTTCCTCAAACAGAATGGCTTTTTCTGGCATCTTTTTGTTACTGAAGACTAAAAATTGCTTCAAATGTTTGTCTTGTATTCCCTTGTCCTTCTCTAAGGCATCATCATCTTCTGGAAGGAAGGAAGGAACAGAACTGACATTAATATGTGAGTTCTGTGCACCTCTGAATGACAATCTGTACAAAGTCTTCAGGGCTGGCTTTCCATTGTTAAAGAGATTCAGGTGTAAATATCTCCTACTTGATGCATTTATAAGGAAAATAAAGAAACAATAACACAAAGGATGAGAGGAAGGGGGCAAGCAGATTGAACTATACCAGCTTATTTAACTGTGTCAAAGAAAGAAGAAACTGGCAAAGAATACAAGAGCTTTGGACACTGACAGAAACATTCCAACATGGAACAGTCCCCAACATCCCCTGGAAGGATGGCTGACGGGGTGACGTGCACAAGGATCTGGTGGGCACCAGGCAGAGACCAGGTGAAGCAGACCTCAGGAAGCCAGTGTCCAAAGACCCCCAGGAGGAAGGGTGACCTGGAGATGTTCCCAGTGACTTGAGAACCTTGGAGTTTGTACACATGCAATGGATAACAGGAGGCACGAGTGGAGGTGAGTGGAGGTAGACTGCAAGGAGGCGGGGCACTCTGGTGGGCATGGTGGGGAGAAGGAAGGCGTCAGTGTGTGCTGAGGGGTGGGTTCTGTGGACAGAGAGCATAAAGCCAAACGTTTTTCTATGAATACATTTATTTGGGAAGAACATTTAGGTATATACAGCACAGGTCCTAGAAGATTCTAGACAAAGGATCATACAGGGGCCAGCTGCGATCACTGATCAGCCTGGGACTCGAATTCTTTTGTTTTTACCTGCTTGGTCAACACACTTGCCTGCACGGTTCTGACTCGGTGATTCTTCCACTATCCAAGGCTCTTTTCCTTGCTCCAATTTTAAGATCACATCTGGTTTGCTAACACGAAACCCTGTTAATGAGAAGTAGTATGGAACTTGGACCAAGCTCTGTGGACTTCAAGGACTTACGGATGGGGAAACTGAGCAACAGAGATGCCCAACAACAGCTCAATGAGGCCGGTACAAATTAGTGAAGGGCAGGTACATGCGTGCACATGCATGTGCATGCAAACTATCATCTTTCTCCCTTGTTATTCAAGGAGAGAGATTTCAATTCTAATATTTGCCCATGTTCTTGTGACACAGAAGAAAGGCTAGCCCTGGGGTGCCATGTGGAGACTGCACTCACCCACTGAGAGGAGGTTCCTGTAGTTCTCCAGCATCACATCCCTGTACAGGAGGCGCTGTGCAGGGCCCAGATATTGCCACTCCTCATGGGTGAAGTCCACGGTCAAATCTATGAAGGAAACTGACCCCTGAAAGAACATGTTTCATCTGAGATAATTAGAACTGAGCAACAGCAAATCTGTGGGACTACCAAAGATCAGGAGGGCACTGCCATGGCCAATGTTAGGCTATGGAGAGATACTTCATGGGAGAACAGAAATCACTCACTATTTATGAATGAGATTTTTAAATGTGTGGAGTTTATATTGTGCCCTGGAATTCCCAGATTACTGGCTCATGTGCAATATGGCTCTTGTTCTCCAGGAGCGCCCAGCATGACAAGTGACACAAGCAGACACCGCACTTCAGACAGGAACACACATGCCAGACAAAGGGGACCACAAATGGCTCTGTTTTGTGCCATCAGACTTCTGGGAGATGATCGTTTTAGTCCGCACATAGGTGTGTCTTGCCACAGTGTGTTCATTGAGAAATACACTGAGGCAAGCCGCAGACATGACAGTCGGGGAGCTAGTGCTGCAGGGAGAGACCCACAGGGCAGAGCACACAAGCACCCTCCCCGAAAATCAGTCATCCAGTTGTTGCTACGGCAACCCATCAGTAAAGCACTCCTGAAGTACAAATGACCCATGTGTTTACCTGGAAATCATAATGTAACTCGAGGTTAAGCAACATGTTAGTACCGATAACCATGTCAGTACCATTAACGATCTGTTGTTTTCCCATGCTCCTGGCCAAGAGATCAAAATGAACAGAAGTACAGGGGCTGCTGGGGTGTTCCTTGTCCCCACTCTGGAGACCACTAGTGTAAAACATGCAAATCTGTCACAGAGGTGTTTGTACACACCAGAGCAGCAGGCCCCGTGTACACTCTGGAAGCAACACTGTAGCATATGGGTGATGGCACGCCATTGCCTAGGGACCAAACCAGCCACAGCCGCTGAATCTGCCCGTGCCTGGTTCACACTTCGCCCATGACATTTTCACACAGCAACTGCTGCACTCAGAGCTAAAGAGACTGTACCCAAGCAAAACTGTAAACAGTACTATCTGCTCCCCTGGAAGAAGTTTGCTGTTCCATACCTGAAAACAGGGGAAATGGCTAACAGGTCCAAGCAAAGGGGGAGAAAGCCAGGATGGTCTTCTACAGGAAGCATCAGGGTGGTGAGATCAAAGGACTCCACTCCCTGAGGACCAAGAGGGACTGAGCGCATGTGGGCTGGGGACCACCAGAGCTGGGCACATGCCAACATCATATGCCAATGTAGGAAGAAGGCAATAAACACCCCCACCTACTCCCCAGCACAGGAAGCCAAGGCGACAACCTGCAATGCTGAGCTCAACGAATTTGTGGAGAAAAGGGGTAAAGACAGCTATCCTGGCAAGTGGACATTTGGTTTTGGCTCAAAGGAGAAAGAATGGTAAAGGGAGACAGTATCTGAGAGCAAAGGAGGAGGTCTCTAGACTGACCCGGAAGGAGCTCTAGGTCGCACTGTGAAGGGGGAAAAGGCGCAATGATCTCCACAGGGTAAGGTCATGTAAGAAAGGAGGAGATGAGAGAAGACACACATAGAAAGGGCCAACCAGGAATGAGTAACTTGTCACCTTCAGGAGGACGACAGAGGGAGAAAACGGGGTGGGGAAGGGCAGAGGAGAGAGGGCAAAGGCATTTCACTACACAGACTGCAGTACACAGGTCTGACTCAGCTCTGCAGCAATGTGCCCCCACCACCACCAACCTGAGTAAGTGAAATAAACAGGATATGGAGGGGAACTACAAATAAGACAGACAGCAGCTGCCTGGCTGGACAAGTCGAGAGTGCAGTGACGAAACAGAGGAGTCCCAGGTAAGGACAAGGGACAGTCAGGATGTGCTCCACAGGGTAACCGGCCACTGAAAGGTCATGAGAGACAAGGACCATCCCAGACTGCAAGAGGCCATGGAGACCTGTTATGGTACGGCACTCGAGAGGCCTTGGCGGGTGGAGCTAAGGTGACCCATGGCGGGTGAGAGACAGAGACACCACGCAGACAGTGTGCAGTGGAGGGTTTTGTTTGGTGAAGGTAAGAGAGAAGGGAGAGGGAAAGAGAAAGAGAAAAAGGGGGAGCAGGGGGGTACTACCTCATGGAGAGGGGGAAAAGAGAGAGAGAGCCAAGGGGGAGGAGTCCCTTCTTAAAGGGAACAGGAACGTAGGATGACGTCAGGACGCTGGGCAGGCCAGGTGTGAATGCTAACAGACATGACAACCAAATGTAACCCTGGACCCCTGAACTGAAGACAGTCCGGTCTGTGCTGCTGTCTGTACAGTACCAGGACTGGATCAACAGTTTTTCCTGGTCCTGATCACTGCACTTTGGTACTGACAGGCCAAGGGAAGCTGGGACGTGTGTAGAAAAACTGTCTGTGACTTGTTGGTACTTACACTTGTCTGAATTCATTTTGAAATGCAGTGGCAAGACTTGGGCTTCCCCCAGCTCTGCAGAAGCCCACATGCTCCCTGAGCACGAGGCCTGCTACATGCTCCACCTCACGCATAGCTATTGCGGGTCACTGAGCCTTTTCCTCATCTTGCCACACATCTGCACATACGCAGCATGGCACCTTTCCTTCAGGATGGCATACCTCTCTCCTAGAGGTAGCTTACTACCCATATTAAAGATTCTCTATGAATCACTCCCTCCAAAATAAGCACCCTGGTAATAAACAGTACTTTAAAATTTCCATTATAGCCTAGGCAAGATAGTGAATACATACGCTCCTGATAACCACAAAGGGTGATTGCAAGGAATGGTAGAAGGAAAAGGCCAGTGAAAGTCGGATGAGGAGAGCTGACTCGTGAGTCCTCTGCCACACAGACAGACTCAGCTGCCCTTAACAGCATACAGCCCACCGCAGAAGAGATGTTTCCAGTGGGAGAGACTGAATGGTGTCATAACAAAAGACAAAAAACATACTCTGGTGACTCAGGTCAACCTTATGCACTCTGGGAAGAAAACAAAGGAAAGCTAAAAAGAAAATGAGAAACCTCGCTACAAGGAGCACAGGGGTAGAGAGGCAGGCAGAGAGAGAGAGGCGTGGCCACAGCTCCTACTTTCACATGGAGGGAGCCCCACGGGTGATGTGCAGACCCTACACGGATGCAGAAATGGAGACAGCGACTCTGCTCCATGAACACACAGCCTGGAGGATAGAGGGAAGGGACAGGAATGGGTTCTACAACAGCTCTGTCCCTGGTCTCAAACAACATGAAGTACTAAGGATCATTTAAATAGGAGGGGACCAGTTCAAAGTAAAATCTGGTGCATGATCTGGAAACTAGAGGCACAATACTACCCTTCAGCACTGGGGCTCAACATGGCTGAAACCTGCTTCCCGGGGCACAGTACACAGCTCTGCACAAATGTCTGGCTGTTGCAGTTCAGTGGGATGTAACAGGCTTCTGGTAAAGGGACACAGGGCAAGGGATGATAGGTGTGTGGTATGTCCCACAGTGTGTGGAACATTCTTACAGAGAAGAGGTGCCCCAGGTCTCACGTAACTTTCTAATGTCCTGGTCATACCAACAGCAAATCTGTTTATTATGAACTGAACCTTGCCTAGGTGTCAATCACAGGAAAGCCACTCCTCCACCAGCTTGAGCTCCACAGGGCAGAGGTGTTAGCTTTTGCCAAACTACAGGTACAGCATCTGGTGCAGTGTTTGATACATAACAATATGGTCGATACACAGTGCTTGGTACATAACATGATTGACACACAGCTGTTAAACGAAAGGTCTGGAGTGGCAGGGACTAAAGAAAAGTAGAAAACTGGCCTTGCTAAGTCAAACGTAGGATGCTGAACTTTTATCCTGTAAGTAGTGTGGACCTGCTGGGGTACCTCCAGCACTGAGACATTAATGGGTATTGCTAGCAAGACAAGTGCAAACCACACACTTGAGAAAGGTGGGCAGACCATTGAAAAACCTATCATGATAACTCTGAAGACAGGAATTGAGGCAGGGGAAGTAGGGCCAGAGAACTGATACTCATGATACCTTAGCAAGGCTTGACAATTGCCTGTGACTAGAAGTAAGGAACAAGAGACTTAACACATACTCATCCCCCGCCCCCGCCCCCTGCCCCCATTTGAGACAGTTTCACACTGTAGCCCAGGCTGGCCTCAATCCATAGCAACTCTCCTGCGTTAGCTTCCTGAGTGCTGGAATCACACGCATAAGCTGCCACATCTGGCTTTGTGTCTCATTTTCTTTTGAGTCCGTGTAACTGAAGGATTAGTGACATTGGCAGGGACCGATGAGGAAGAAGCACACTGAGCAGACAGATGTCAACATCATTTCTTTTCTGCACAGCAGGACTCCAGGTGCCTTTCGAAGACCCTTGCAGAGAAGAACAGCAAAAATCCCACACAGAGATTCTTAGAGGAAGAAGATTTCAGAGCTCAAAGGGCTGCAAGTGAAAACTCTAAATGAGAGGAAAAGAGAGTCGTGTGAAGGCTAGAAACGATCAGAAGAGCATCTGAGGAAGGGATGGTCACACTGCCAAGTGCAACAGAGTTTGGTGAAGCAGAGTGGAAATGTTATTGGGTTTGAAAATGTGAGATCTGATCACTAATTCTGATCACAACAGGGGTCAGACATGGAGTGAGTTGACAATAGACAAGTAAGTGAAATAGTTTTACCACAGGTTGAAAGTCAAATTGAGCCCTGGATACCTGTTTCAAAAGTAGAGTTGAAACACTCAGGAGGCCGCAGGAGAATTATCAGTTTGAGGCCCATCTGGGCTTTATAATAAGTATCTTCCTCTCTCTCCCTCCCCGCCCCCCCCAAAAGAAAAAAACTACTAAAAAGAAATAGTAACAGGGCATCATTTGAGGCACATGCAACCCATTTATTCTAGGTTTTATCACCACACCAAGGAGAGTGAGCAGAAGGCTGTATATGCCCCTGACAACAGACTAGAGACATCTGTAATTATGAGGCCTTGCCAAGGTGTAAATCACAGGAAACCCACAGCTGTTGTTGGTAAAGCTGACTTGGCATCCTCTGCTCAAAGATTCTCTAAAAACATGTTTATAAACAAATGACAAAAAACCATGGTAACAGCCTATTTCCTATCACTTGGGTCTTTCTTGTACAACCCGAATAAACATACAGGGATGTATAACTTCTCTTTATTTTTCAAGACATGTTTTCTCTATGTATCCCTAGCTGTTCTGGAACTCTATAGACCAGGCTGGTCTGGAACTCAGAGATCCACCCACCTCTGCCTCCCAAGTGCTAGGATTAAAGTCATGCACCACCATGCCCCGAAATAATTTCTGTTTATTCTGTTTATTGAGGTTCATTTTTCTGGTACTGATCTGATTCCCTTATTTTCCTTGATGTTGAATTTTATATATTCCTATCATTTTATCTGAGTGTATACACTGCAAATCTATGACAAGCCGCTGCCCAAGATGAGAAGTGACTCTCTCAGTGACTTACCTGGAAACTGTCCATTTTCAGGTACTCTCAAGGGCCAGGGATGGTGATCGAAGGGCTGGGTGAGGAAGAATGGAGAATAGAATCAGCAGACTGACAGCTCTTAGTGACTCACAGACACACCATGGAAGGAAAGGACCCTTTGACCAGTATTGTACAGGAAGCAACTGCTTGAGGGAATGCCCACTAGTAGCTCTGAATGGACCAGTCAGAACTTTTCTTACTGTGTGAATGGAAACAAAGGTGTTAAAGTGAATTACTGTTTTACTTAAGCCTCCTTAAAAAAACAAACAACACTTACAAGCGGTCCAGCAAGAAAGAAACTCTAAGATTAAGATATTAATTAATTTTTGGAGTCAATTACCTATTTTCCTACTGATGCGTTCAGCAGATGAAATCAGAAAACCCAGACAGAAGGAGTGAGGGTTTTTTTTTTTTTTTTTTTTTTTTTTTTTTTTTTTAAAGATTTATTTATTTATTATGTATACAGCATGTATGACTGCAGGCCAGAAGAGGGCACCAGATCTCATTACAAGTGGTTGTGAGCCACCATGTGGTTGCTGGGAATTGAACTCAGGACCTCTGGAAGAGCAGTCAGTGCTCTTTAACCTCTGAGCCATCTCTCCAGCCCCCCGGAGGAGTGAGGGTTTTAAGAAGGTCACCACTCCGCTCCCCTGCCCTGACCTTAACTGCAGTTTCACGAGAGGCCTCTGCTTAAATGTAGCAGAGGACAAAGGCCCGACCTGGCAACCAACAGACCAGAATTAAATTCTTGACTCTGTCACCAGCAAACTACCTAATAGCTGCCTTGCTCATTTGAAAAGAAGTTTTAATATCTCCCAAACCTTCTCTGTAGGTACACTGTGTCATTCTATATGAAGGGAGTCAATAAACCCTGGGGTGGGGATGGATGTGGTTTGACAACTCAGGAGAAACGGAATGGGGACTCTAAGAAACGACATACGGGTGGTGGTGGCGCACGCCTGTAATCCCAGCACTCGGGAGGCTGAGGCAGGTGGATCTCTGTGAGTTCGAGGCCAGCCTGGTCTACACAGCTAGTCCAGGACAGGCTCCAAAGCTACAGAGAAACCCTGTCTTGAAAAACCAAACAAACAAACAAACAAACAAAAACAGAAACGACATGCGTTTGTTCGAAGTGATGGAGAGACCCTGTCCTCAGTCATGGCTGGCATCCCTTCCCTCCAAACGACAGACCCTCCAATGAAACGCCATTCTGCCTAACATGGACCTGCTCATCCCCTCGAAGATTTACTGGTCCAAGGGCATCCGCAGGACTTACTGCGATCCTGTTTTTGCACGCACACACACACCTCTCCTTCCCAGGATGCCCGCCCGGAGGCCTGCAGCCCGGTGACATCCGGTGGCCTCGCCCGGCCGCTGGACGCCTGCGAGCCTCCGCAGGCCCCGGGTAGGCTCCGGTCCCTCCGATCCTGCCCTGAGCTCGCTACCCGGTCTTTCTGTGGCTCCCGGGAATCCTCGCTCCTCTTACAGTTCCCAGGAGGCCCCGGGGAACCCTAGGAGCACTGGGAGCCTCGCCTAGAAGAGCTCGGAGAACCGGAAGCGCGTCCATCGAGGCTAGGAGACGGCGCATGCGCAGAGCCTCGGTGCCGCCATTCCCACGGTTTGGAGAAAGGCTCCTGCAGTCTGTCGGGGACTACATTTCCCACAAGGTGCTGCGGCCTCCGCCCAGCCGATTTCCTCTCAGTCGCTTGGGTTTAATCAATGGGCTGTGAAACGTAGTACAAAGGAACTGTGAATAACTGCAGACCTGGAAAGAAATTCCAACAGTGTATTAAGAAAAAAAATAATGATTAAAGAGTTCTCTCAGAATGAAAAAATAATGGCGAGCTTCCCAAAATTACAGAAAACACCTAATAATTAAAGATTAATCAAACCGTCTCTAAATGTCTTAAAATAATAGCTGTACTGCTTACTCCTAGCTGTCTGAGTTTATCAACAGGTGCACACTTTTCTGCCAATTTTACAGAAGGGGAAATCACAATAATTAACGACAAAATATCTTACCAGTATACTTGTTTCAACTGTTTTATTTTATATGTATGGGTATATTGCCTGCATGTATGTCTCTTCATCACTTGTGTGTCATGACCAGTGCTTGAGGAGGCCAGAAGAGGGTATCATGTAGGTGCTGAAAATTAAACTCTGGTCCTCTGGAAGAGCCATCAGTGTTCTTAACCACTGAGCCATCTCTCCAGTCCCTTAACGATATAGTTTAACAGCACCAATTATATATAATGCAAGAAATGTAGAAACTAGACCTTCGTCCATTGGGGACAAATTGTATACACGTATACATATTAGAAGAGTAAAGCTATGTAATATGTTTTCCTCGCTGGAGGGCCTGGAGGTTTCTGACACAGTTATCTGTTATCATTAATACCAAAAGGAACACCGAGGTTCGGAGGCTGAGAGTGAGCTAGACTTCCAGGGATTCAATGCTTGTATATTGGCCCCCACATTGAATGTGGCTGTGTCGTGATTTTAAACAAAGGGGACATCAGAAGGGACACCACCGGTTTTAAAAAAAAACAACCTGTGACATCCTGGCAGTCAGGTTTGTCTTCAATGTTTCTAGAACCTGTGCAAGACTTTAAATTACCTAGTTACCAGAGACCAAGCGGAAATCAAAAGAAGCAGAGAGGCAACATGGAGAAACAGGTGAATTCTTCCCAGCAACCCAGCATGTCTCACCTTCCAGGCATCCTTGTCACAACTTCAGACTCAAGGAGTGAGCCATCTTGAGCACTGTACACAGTCAAGTCCTTGGGCGGCTTCAGCTGCATAGAGAATTACGTGAAGCAGAACCATACAGGCAATACCAGTAAACATATAGCAAAAATAAAATAACCAAGGCCATCATTTTAAGTCACCAAGTTTTGAGGGTAGTTTACTATGGAGCAATAAATAACATGGTGGACCTTGGAGATGATGCAGTGGGTAAAGGCACTTGCCAACAAGCCTGGTGACCTCAGTTAGATCCTAGGGACCGACATGGTGGAAGGAGAGAACCGGCCCCTGAGAGCTGGCCTCTGAGCTCCCCAGGTGTGCCCTGGCCTTCTCACAGTAGCATGGGCACACATATACATACCAAGCAAATAAATAAAGATTTTCTTAGAAAAAGAAAACCGGAATGTCTTTGGGGAAAGATGGATTTCAAAAGCAAATGTATGGGGGAAACACTGTTTGTGTCTATATGGAGTAAATGTAAAAATGTGTCAATTTATTAAAATGCTTTTAGAAACTGTTTAAAATTAGTATCTTAATTATTTTTAAAAGGTGGAGTAAGGTATGAACAAGAAAATTAATTAGAAGATTTGGAAATGAATTAGAAATTAGCCATATATATGTGTGTGTGTGTGTGTGTGTGTGTGTGTGTGTGTGTGTGTGTGTGTGTGTATATATATACACATATACATGTAAATGTATATATAATGGCCAATCACACTATAGGTCAAAGAAGTGAAAAAATATTTTTAAAATTACATACATTTTTGGCAAACTAGCTCGGTAAGGATAAAAAGAAATCAATTTGGTCACAGAATTGGGAAAATGTTCCTTGTCAGGTTGAGTAGGGTGGCCGTTCCTGTCACATTTCTGGAACACATTCTGCACCCAAATTGGAGGTCACATGCCTTTTATCTAACAATTCAGGAGAATATTAAAGAAATAATTGAACTTGTGTATAAAGATATGTAGCAACATTCCCAAAATGTTGTGTTTTAATTTTGAGCCAGAGTTTCACTATGCAGCCTGGGCTCCCTTCAATTTAGGATCGCTTGTCTCTGCCTCCCGGGGATTAGGAACTGAACAGTGATGGAGTGATGCAGTTTCCCACAGTGACCACTAGATGGCAGAAGACTCCCCTGCCAACTTTCCTGGGAGGCTCCTCATGAACTTCATTGGCTAGGAAGGCCTCTGTGTGAAGTCTCAGTAGCTTAAGGGTCTTAGTCAAGAAGGCCTGATGACAGCCAGCCTGAGGAAGGCTGTGGTTCTTCCTGATACTTCAGACAATTTACCCAGCTGCTGTTAATGTGGGTCAAGCAATTTGTGGGGATTTTTTTTCCTAGCCACATGAAACTGGCACCTTGTTCTGACAATACTTGACCATCGAGGACTACCCCAACCTTTACTCAAGAATGCCGATTTCCATTGTATGAGAAGAACCCACTAGACAGAGCTTTACTCGACCTGTAAAACTGTCAAGATCATCTAAAAAGTGATGGCCTGTCTTTTTCCTAGCCAAGCATGTCATGAATCTGAACTTGAACCCTGAGCAGAATGGGAAACTGATTCATTCTGGCATGGATGCTGTAAAGCCTGCCCGTGATCCTTGCTCATGGATCTCCAGGACTCTGCAGATTCTGGACCTTCCCAACGCCTACAGCTTGCCTTTTCAGTCACTCAGAGATACTTTCTGTTACCGGCAAACAAGGAGCCCCTGCGAGTCAGTCTACACTTCAGATTTGCTAAGACAGGAGCCAGATCTGTGTGAGAGGTTCTGTGTTAGGAGGAAGGCAAGTCTTCATTCACCACACCCACTTATTCATCCGATCGACATTCGGGATGTCTGTGCTCAGCCCTGCTGTAGTCCATTTATTTACTTGTTATGATATTCTGATTTAATCGTTGGGAATTTCATGGGTATATACAATGTATTACAAACCCAATTAGTGCTGCCAGTAAGAGCATGGTGTGGGGCCATCCTCTGGAGTGTGGGCAACCCCCAGGAGCCACGCCCCTGAAGAAGAACTCCCCCACCCCAGTAGCCACTGGCTGCTAATAGCTCCCCCTCCGCTAAGAGTGAGGCCTGTGTGCCCCTCCCCAGTCCATTCCAGGATGTTGATAGGCTTACTTTGGATAGGCAACCACAACTGCTGTGAGTTCAGGAATGCAATGCATTTATTTACCGTGGTTTTTTTTTTTTTTTTTTTTTTTTTGTGTGTGTGTGTGTGTGTATGAGTGTGTGCACACGCACGTGCCATAGTAAACATTTGGAGGGCAGAGGTCAACCTCAGGGGAGTTGGTTCAATTCTTCCACCTTGCGAGAGTTTAGAATAGAGCTCATGTTGTCCCAAAATGTCCCCCTGCTTCCCACAGGACTGTCTAGCTATTGTAAGGTCCCTGAGGTGACTGGTCTGTGTGCCCCAAATTCAGATGCTGATATCCTAGCTTCTCAAATAATGGTGTCAGGAGGCGGGTCTTCAGGGATTCCTGTGGGAAGGCCTCCATGGATAGGTTAGTGGCCAGTGAAAGGCAGCCTCAATCGCTCTTTCCCAGCTCAGTTGTGCAGTGGATCTCAGACTGGCAACCACAAATCTGTTTATCTAGTCCGAACTTATTCTCCTTTTCATTTTCACTTTTAATACTACTGGATGTACTTAATTCAGAGAAGTTATATTAAATATAATAATCTGAGTCTATACCGGAAAGGAAAATATCTAAACTTTCCCCCTTTCTTCCTTAACTCCTTCCTTCTCTTTTCTTTTCCCTGTGTGCACAGTTTGTGTATGTATGTGTGTGCGCACATGCACACACAAGGTCCTATGAGCACCTCTGGGAAGATGCAGGGCACAGCACGCATGTGGAGGTCAGAGGATAGCCTCTGGCCTTGGTCGTCCCCTTCCCCTTGATTGAGGTTGGCTCTCCCTTCCTCTGCTCTGTATTCTGGGCTAGTTGTAATTCTAGCATGTGGGAGGTGGAAGCAGGAGGATCAGGAAGTTCAAGGTTATCCTTGCCTGCATGGTGAGTTCGAGGGCAGCCTGGGTTACATGAGACCCTATCCCAAGACAAAATAAACAAAGAAAAGGGAAAGAAAAGAAGTGATACCATCATAGTTACTTTCCTATTGCTGTGATAAAACACCTTGACCAAGGCAATTTATAGAAGAAAAAGTTCATTTGGGACTTAAATTTCCAAAGGGTCATGACGGGGAGCATGGCAGCAGGCAGGCAGGCAGGCATGGTGCTGGAGCAGTAGCTGAGAGCTCACAGCTTCATCTACAAGCATGAAGCAGAGAGAGCTAACTGGGAATGGTCTGAGTCTTTTGATACCTCAAAGTCCACTGCCAGCAACACACCTCCTTCAACAAGGCCACACCTCCTAATCCTTCCCAAACAGTTCCACCAACTGGGGACCAAGCATTCAAATATATGGGCCCATGGGGCCGTTCTCTCTCAGGTCACTGCAGATGCTAAAGAATCTGTTGTAGCCACAGTCATAGTGATGTGGTTCATCGCCTGTATGTTTATTATGGTACTGATGCTGTGAAAATAGATATGAGCCTCGTGTTTGCACAATATACAGGCTTTGGGGCTACTTCTCCTTATGTTTCCCATCCTGCTTTTCTCATACCCTCCCTCTCCACAGAGCCAACTCAGAACACTTGATTCTCACTTGAAATTTGTCATTTTATTATTATTCTACTATGGGGAACTCAAGGCCATGCATGGCTAACCAGAGGCCAAGTTCATAGCCACGTGTCACTGGATACTAAACAAATGTGTCCCTTCTCTGAAATTCAAAATTGAGCATTGTTGAACAAATTCCTAATGGGTCTTAAAATAATAAACCCAGAGCTAGATATTGGGGTA